TTCAGAGGACCCCCACGTCCACGCCCTGCACCAGTGGTTGGAGAGGCTGAAAACAAGGAGAACCAGCACGAGGCTAATGCTATGAGCCAGCAGCCATCCCGTCGTGGATACCGGCGCCCATACAATTATCGGCGACGACCCCGCCCGCCCAGTGCTCCATCCCAAGATGGCAATGAGGTGAGAGCATCCCTGGCAATGGGGAGAGGTATATTGAGTTCTGGGACTGGTGCTGCCAACATGCACACCTAAGACAGCTCTGTAGCTATTAGCTTCCCTCTCCTGCTGCCCGTGTCCCTAACCCTGTGCTGAAAAGCATGGGCAGGGGATGTCATAGGTAAGTGTTGAGGCTGCCAAAACTGGTGCTATATGTGAGGGTGGTTGTATTTGATATAATCACCTGTCCTACTAGAAACTTGCTCAAGAACCAACTCATTTCACACAGGATGGTAAACAGCCATCAGATGGGAATAACTGTTGGCCATTTCTGAACTGGATCCAGTGTCCTTGAGGTGATGGAACTCCATTGCCTTTCCCCATTCCCTCTGAGCCATCCATCTCTCTTCAAACAGGGTCTGTATTGGAATCAGTGCCCTGGAGGTGAAGGCTTCAAATCCCATTCCTTGATTGTTTTGAACCAGTCAGTCCCAATGACCTAGTTGCAGAGTCCAGCAAGAAGCTTAGCGATGAAAGGCACTGAGTCTCATTCCGCAAACCACATGAGACAGCTGATCTCCTCCTTCCGTGCTGGAGCTGAATTGGAAGTAGTGTGCTAAAGGCAAAACTCTACTATGGTCAATGTTTGAGGATTCATTTTTCTTGGGATTTCCAAGCCTCAATTATTGATACTAATACTGAATAGAGGAAGGGGCTGGAAATCATCACTTTGCCTATTCCATGCAACTATGTTCTTTCAGACCAAGGTGGCCGAAATACCTGCTGAGAACCCTGCTCCAGTGACCGAGCAGAGCAGTGCTGAATAATGTCCGGCTCCCAAGGCACCTTTACCATCCCTCAGGTAAGGAATATAGGAAAATCCAGAGTTTGAGCGAAATTTTCTCCTTCGCTCTATGGCATTGGTTACCAACTGGTCAATCCTAGAGGATCTTCCAGTTGATCGCGATTTCCGGCAGGGCTGCCGCTAAGACAGGCTCCCTGCCTACCCCAGCCACACGCCGCTCCTGGAAGCAGCCAGCACGGCCATGGAGGTGGCGTGGGGCCAGGGGTCTCCTTCTGCGCACTGCTCCTGCCTGAAAGCACTGCCCCGACAGTTCCCATTGGCCGGGCAGGGGGAGCTGTGGCCAATGGGAGCTGCGGGGGCAGAGCTTGCAGAGGGGGCAGCGCATGGGGCCATGTGCCACCCACCCCAGGGGCAGCAGGGTGCGCTGGCCCCTTCCGGGAGCAGCGTGGGGCTGGAACAGACAGGGAGCCTGCCTTAGCTGTAGCCACGCTGCACCGCCAACCAAGAGCCGCTGGAGGTAAGTGCTGCCTGGTGGGAGGCCACACCCCAGCCCTGACCCCCTTCCCAGAGCCCTCACCCCCTCCTGGACCCCAACCCCCTGCCCCAGGCTCAGCCCAGAGCCTCCGCCCATACCGCCTCCTGAACCCCAACCCCAGCCTGGTGAAAGTGAGTGAGGATGGGGGAGAGCGAGTGACAGAGTGTGCGGGGGATGGAGTGAGTGAGGCAGGGCTTTGGGGAAGGGGCAGGGCCTCGGGGGTGGGGCAGGGCAGATCCTGGGTTGCACTTAAATTCAAAAAGTGATCTTGGGTGTAAAAATGTTGGAGACCACTGCTCTATGGCCTAGTAATTAGCAGGCCACTACCATCTTAATTTCCCCTTTGCACATTGACAGGGCTGTCTCCATGACAGGCTCACAAAAGTCACCTGACAATATCCTCTCAGACACTGCAGCTGGAGGGAGTTGGGTTTATTTGATGGCAGCCATGGAGCCTTGGGCAGCCGGCCCCACAATTATATTCCATAGCACAGAAATGATTCTCAAATCTTCAGCAGTTCCCTTAGCTGTGTGTGCAGGGTCCACTGCCCCAGTCCCAGAGACATTTCTAGGTGGAGGTTTCCTTTTCTTGACACTTGAAGTCCAACCTGCTCATCCTTATTTTCCATTTTTTTTCCCTCCCTAAAAATTATTTTCCTCTGTTTTTTGGGGTCTGCCCCCATGCTCATATCCAACCCACACTTCATCTAGGACTTGGGTGTGGGCGGAAAACCAGACATTAGGAATAGGGGTGAGGAACATGGCTGCAAGAGAGACTTCATCCCAGAATAGAATGGATCAGGAGCAATCCTGAAGATTTTACTTGGGGCTCAGCCTTGGGGCCAGATGACATCCTGGCATAACTCCATTGATATCAAAGGAATTGCATCAGAGATGGATTAGGGCCCCTGATATTTAAAGGCCTGTGTACCATAATTGCATAACATGAGGACATGCTTTTTCTTCCCATCCATACAAGGAATATCAAACTGTTTTTATGATTGTATTGGGATACAACTGTGTTAATCACACTGTTCTAGGAAAGTCAGTTTTCCATCAGACAATTTTTAGATGATATGCATATAAGACTCAACAGTATCTTTGTAACTAGGTCATGAGACATGCAGCTGAGACAAACCTGGGTGAGCTGTGTCCATACATGAGCATTTTTCATGACACAGCCATGTGTCAATGGTGTTTGTGTCTGTACTAGCTACACTACCTCACTGTGTTTGTCAGTGCATTTTGGGAATATCTGGTACTGTCGCAGAGCACCTCAGCAGGGGGCAGAGTGCCTGGTGGACATGCACGTAGAGCAACACCAGCAACTTGGAATGCAGTGCACTGCAGGATGACCACGTCCTCAAAGTTCTTGGAGGACGGTGGACCAACTGGTTATACAAGCATTGTAGGGAAGTGGGGGTCCGTCTACATTGCAAAATAAGTGAAATTTAACTGGTTACAAGTAGACAATCATGTCCAGACAAGGTCACTGAGAAGGGAAGCACACTGTGACTGGTCACAGCTACTAGCCATGTTGTACAAGGATAAAAGCTGTTCTTAGAGCCAATAGTCTTACAGGTTTATTGTTTTATACCACATTCCTTGCTGTTGTAGCTACAAACTTGGTTAAAAGTTAGTGGAGACAAGGCCTAGGAGTTAATGGAGGGGGGATATTTGAAGAATTAAATAAAGAAATCACTTGTTCGATTTGACCTTTTCTACAGGTGTCCTAAAGTGTAATTACAAAAATAACACCAAAGAAAGATCCAAGCAATAAAATGAAAACAAGTGACGAAAACAATGAAGATTTGAAACATCGGAACTTAAGAGAAATAAAAAATATACCAGCAGCCGAGATCCAGGGAACGCCTGCAACAGACGCATAGAGAGAGAGAGAATGAGAGTCAGAGCGACCTCCCCAGCTTCCACGGCAACTGCGGGGATTTTTAAAATGTCACCATTTCGCTATTATATATATATATATTTTCCCCTCCAGTTTTTCTTTTGGTACCAAACTAAGAAAAGAGAAGGTGGGGGGGAAAACCCCAACCAAAGAAATGAAATTTTAAGTCAAAAACTTTTTTACTGGACGCTGGTGCTAAAACCTCCCAGGTGTGATGAGGGATTTTTTTTTTTTGTTTTTTGTGCCAGTCCTGCTTAATTTCAGGACACGGGGAGGAGAAATTTCTGCTTTCCTTTGTAAGATCTATAAGAAAATGTGCAGTGTGGGTGACGTTCCTCACAAATAAAAGTGATTTAACTTCCAAAAAACAAAACAAATGAAAGGTAGAAGTGTCTCTTCCATGATTACTTTTAAAACAGCTGAACTACTATATTTTGATCTTTCAGCACTTAGATAACAAAATGATAGCTGCTGTTATGAATACACTTGATTTGTTTATAGTGCCCAAAAGCATGCTGGACACTGCAGAAAAATTCAGACATGCTTGTGTTGTGTCAACTTTGTGCCAACACAGCCAGTGTACGGTGGTCACAAAGCAGCTGTAATATCCCCTCTCTGAGACTACCCTCCTGCTTTTGCAACCAGTGTAACCAAACTGTGTGTCCCCTTCTCTGAGTGATTGCACATTCCACCATTGTGTGTACGTGCCCCACCTGCAGTTGTCGGAAATTTTTTTCCCTCAGTGGTATCCATCAGGGCAGTTCGAGTGCCCTCTTCTGCATGCCACTGTATGCTGGTATAAAGGGGTCCAGGCTTCCCAAAGCCGCCTCAGTTGCTTCTTACTGCCCGTGACAGTCATTGGAATTGCTTGACGTGCCTTAGTAAATGCTCTGTGTATTTTTCTTGAAAATTTATAATAGTTTTCTGGTTTTATAGTAGATAGGATTAGTTTCTTTTTTGGTCCCTGGTTTGGGATTTCCATTTTTCTGTGCCAAGGGATGCTTCAGTCACCAGACTTCAACCTTGTATCTCTTGTGTTAGGCCAATGCCTGTGTGTAACGCACACTCAAGCTGCTTAAAGTGTTTAGGGGAAGCTCATATTCTGGATCGTTACCTCAAGTCAGGGGAAAAGGCTGTTCTCACAATGGTCTTTCTGCACAGGTGTATCCAGATAGACCTATTTGCGACCAAAACCAACAGGAAAGGCCATCATTGTTGCTTCCTAGAAGGTCACAGTCCCAGCTCTCTGAGGCTTTCCTTCTACCCTGATCAGACAAACTCGGCTACACTTTTTCCCTGATCCCACTCCTACACAGAGTGTTAGTATAACCCGAGAGCATGGTCCCATCTGATCTTTACTAATAGCCCCAGCAGCACTAATTCTCCACTCTACTGCATCTGCCAGTGGAGGTTCCAATTTTGCTTCCATTGTACCTAGACTTAATCTCCTAAAATCACAGTCAGCTGCTCCATCTGAAACTGAAGGGGCTTCATTTAACAGCTTGGAAGCTCCATGGGTAAATCCTAAGGAGGAGTCTTGCTCAGAAAAAGTTTGCAGTGTCTTGTTAAATAGTAGAGAGCCCTCCACCAGGTCTACTTACATGTCAAAGTGGAAACATTTTTCCCTCTGGTCTCGTTAATCTGGAGTTTCACCAGTGCAGTCCTCAATCTTCCATAGCCTGGACTATTACACCTAAAACAGCAATGGTTGGCAGTTATTGCTTTCAAGATCCACTTGGCAGCTGTATCAGCTTTCCATCCTCATGGACAACTGTTTATGTATTTTTCTAACTATGAAAGTCAGATTTTTGAAGGGCCTGGAAAAGCTGTACCTTTAGCTAAGGCACGGGTGGGCAAACTATGGCCCGCGGTCCGGATCTAGCCCCTCAGGGCTTTGGATCCGGCCTGCGGGATTGCCCTCCGTTGGGCTGTGGGCCCCATGCCACTCCCAGAAGCAGCCAGCACCACATCCCTGCTGCCCCTGGGCGGGTGGGGCAGAGTGCTCTGTGCATTGCCCTTGCCTCCAGGCACCGCTCCCCGCAGCTCCCATTGGCTGGGAATGGGGAACCGCCGCTAATGGGAGCTTCACGGGAGGTACCTGGAGGCATGGCAAGGGCAGCATGCGGAGCCCCCTCCTGTACCCCAATCCCCTGCCGCATCCCTCCTGCACCCAAGCTCCCCGCCCTGAGCCCCCTCCCGCAGTCCACACCCCTGACCTAAGCCCCTTCCTGCACTCTGGACCCCTCCTGCACCCCGACCCCCTGCCCCAGCCCTGCATACAATTTCCCCACCCAGATGTGGCCCTTGGGCCGAAAAGTTTGCCCATCCCTGAGCTAAGGGAACCTGTCTCCCCTCCTCTCCCCCTGGGACTTGATCTTAGTTTAGTCAAGGTTCCTGGGGCCTCCATTTTGAACCTCTAGCAACATGTTCCTTGCTTTATCTATCACTAAAGGTGGCTTTCTTAGTAGCCATCACTTTGGCCAGGAGAGTTGCTGAGTTGCATGCTCTGACATCCACACCACCTTAAGGATAAAATATATTTGTGCTGTCATCTGAGATTCCATTCTAATGTATCTAATTTTCATATTAACCACTTGATTTACTGACCTACATTTTACCCAAAACCACATGCCAGTAGAGAGGCGCAAACTAACACACCCTAGATGTTAGAAAAGCTTTGGCATTCTATGTAGACAGGACTAAACCGGTCCATTTGTCAATCCAACTATTTGTGGTAACTGCAAACCATGAGAGTGGAATGGACATGTGAAATACATCTTGAACAACACTGGCTACATAACATTAGTAACCATTTTTTACCACAGGAGCCCCTGGTTCAAGGGGCATGCTGTGAATGGGAGGGGGAAACCAGGATACCTGTTCCATCAGGCTTTGGCATTAAGGCCTAAATTTACAAGCTCGCTGTCACTTGGGAGAGGGTCTTACAACTGCAAAGGTCCCTGAAACAAGCCTCCATTCCAGAGTAGCAAGATAGGTTTGTTAGCCCCACAGGATCTCTTTATTTGAAATCAGTATAAGATTCCTGACTGTAATGGCTTGGGACAGAAAAGTTCTCATTCTCGTGTGGGTTGGTGGTTGAACTTTATTTAGCACCTCCACCCAGCATGTGCTGATCCTGCTGCTAATGTTCTCAAAAGAGCTGCCTGATCACTGTCTGCCTGCAGCCAAGCTCAGCCACATTCCCACCCAGTGCCCGTCCTGATTGCCTGACTCCTCTCTTGCAACTGCCATGACTCCACTCCTAGCAGCCAGGCTCCTCCAGAATGTTGAATACTCCTTGAACCACTCCATCCCTCTAACTGTACCACTTTACAGTTTCCTGGCTGTTTTAGCTGGCAAGTGCTCCACCTACTCCACCCTCTGTCCCCCTTTACATATTAGACTCATAGACTTTAAGGTCAGAAGGGACCATCATGATCGTCTAGTCTGACCTGCACAACACAGGCCACAGAATCTCACCCACCCACTCCTGTAATAAACCCCTAACCTATGTCTGAGCTATTGAAGTCCTCAAATCGTGGTTTAAAGACTGCAAGGTGCAGAGAATCCTCCAGCAAGTGCCCCATGCTACAGAGGAAGGCGAAAAACCTCCAGGGTCTCTGCCAATCTGCCCTGGAGGAAAATTCCTTCCCGACCACAGATATGGCGATCAGCTGAACCCTGAGCACGTGGGCAAGACTCACCAGCCAGACACCTAGGAAAGAATTCTCTGTAGTAACTCAGATCCCACCCCATCTAACATCCCATCACAGGCCAGTGGGCATATTTACTGCTAATAAAGATCAATTAATTGCCAAAATTAGGCTATCCCATCATACCGTCCCCTCCACAAACTTATCAAGCTTAGTCTTGAAGCCAGGTATGTCTTTTGCCCCCACTGCTCCCCTTGGAAGGCTGTTCCAGAACTTCACTCTGATGGTTAGAAACCTTCGTCTAATTTCAAGTCTAAACTTTCTGATGGCCAGTTTATATCCATTTGTTCCTGTGTCCACATTGGTACTGAGCTTAAATAATTCCTCTCCCTCCCTGGTATTTATTCCTTTGATATATTTCTAGAGAGCAATCATATCTCCCCTCAGCCTTCTTTTGGTTAGGCAAATTATTAAACTGTTTGTCTGCTTCCACGTGCTTCCTTTTGCTAGCTGCAAATCTTACCATTTCCCTTCTATAGAATGCTGTAAATAGAGAAGGGGTTAAAGGGTTAAAGTCTTACCTATGCCATCTGCACATCTATGTGATTAAGCAGCACGGAGCATTGTGGGGGGTGGTTGTCTATGTCTCCTCTTCTGGTTTCCTTGCTGTTACTGGGGCCCTGTATTGTGCAGGCAGCTTAATAATTAAAAATCACATCAAGTTCTGTGGGGACCCACTTCTTTGGTTTACCCACCTCCCAGCACACATTTGCAGTACAGTAAGATGCAGGGTGTCAGATGGGAAAGCTGAGATCCAAGGCATCTTGTTTCCAGCTGCAGTGCAGGTAAGTTAATGGTATTCTATATTTTCTCTGCCCCACTTGCTCCTTCTGTCACTTCCTGTGTGTGTGAATGTGATGGAATCTAAATTGGAACTGAAAAGCCAGCTGCCCTCTGCTGATTGCAATGGAAATTCCCTGTTCACTTTTGGGATTTATTATTAAGTCTCATGTTGAAACACCCTAAAAAGGAAAACTGCAGGCTCAGTGCAGGGAAGAGCTGGAACTCTTGTTTCATCCTTCTGATGAATCTCCTTCCTTAGAAGTTTTTAAGGTCAGGCTTGACAAAGCCCTGGCTGGGATGATTTAGTTGGGGATTGGTCCTGCTTTGAGTAGGGGGTTGGACTAGATGACCTCCTGCGGTCCCTTCCAACCCTGATATTCTATGATAGTTTTCCCAGTTTACCGCAGTCCTGACCTGTAGCACTTAATGCTGTTCAATTATATTAGAATCCCTCGCTCTGTCAGTGCTCCCACATACTGACCTGCAGAGCCTCATGCCACTTACCTCTGGGGGAAAATGCACCTTAATCTTTGACCTGTATACATCATCATGGCACCACTGCCTGTGGGCTGCATTTTAGGGCTGTCGATTAATCACAGTTAACTCACGCGATTAACTCAAAAAAATCATGATTAAAATTAATCGCTATTAATTTCAGTTTTAATCGCACTGCTAAACAAGAGACTACCAATTGCAATTTATTAAATATTTTGGATGTTTTTCTGCATTTTCATACATATCTTGTATTTTGTGTTGTAATTGAAGTCAAAGTGTATATTTTGATTACAAATATTTGCACTGTAAAAATGATAGAAGAAATAGTATTTACCAATTCACCTTATACAAATACTGTAGTGCAATCTTTGTCCTGAAACTTGAACTTACAAATGTAGATTTTTTTTGTTACATACGTGCACTCAAAAACAAAACAATGTAAAACTTCAGAGCCTACAAGTCCACTCAATCCTATTTCTTCAGCCAATTGCTAAGACAAACAAGTTTGTTTACATTTGCAGGAGATAATGCTGCCCTCTTCTTATTTACAATATCACCAGAAAGTGAGAACAGGCATTTGCATGGCACTTTTGTAGCCAGCATTGCCAGGTATTTACGTGCCAGATATGCTAAACATTCGTAGGCCCCTTCATGCTTCGGCCACCATTCCAGAGGACGTGCTTCCATGCTGATGAGGCTCATTAAAAAAATAATGGGTTAATTAAAGTTGTGACTGAACTCCTTGTGGGAGAATTATACGTCCCCTGCTCTGTTTTACCCGCGTTCTGCCATAGATTTCATGTTATAGCAGTCTCGGATGATGACCCAGCACACACTGTTGTTCGTTTTAAGAACACTTTCACTGCAGATTTGACAAAACGCAAAGAAGGTACCAATGTGAGATTTGTAAGGACCGCTACAGCACTTGACCCGAGGTTTAAGAATCTGAAGTGCCTTCCCAAATCTGAGAGGGAGGAGGTGTGGAGCATGCTTTCAGAAGTCTTAAAAGAGCAACACTCTGCTGTGGATACTACAGAATCTAAACACCAAAAAAGAAAATCAACCTTCTGCTGGTGCCCGCTGACTGTGGGGGGAGGGAAGAGGGATTGTTCAGTGGTTTGAGCATTGGCCTGCTAAACCCAGGGTTGTGAGTTCAATCCTTGAGGGGGCCATTTAGCTATCTGGGGCAAAAATTGGGGATTGGTCCTGCTTTGAGCAGGAGATTGGACTAGATGACCTCCTGAGGTCCCTTCCAACCCTGATATTCTATGATTCAGATAATGAAAATGAACATGTGTCAGTCTGCACTGTTTGGGATGGTTTTCGAGCAGAACTCATCATCAACATGGACGCATATCCCCTGGAATGGTGGTTGACATATGTGCATCTGGCACAAAAATATCTTGCGATGCGGGCTACAACAGTGCAATGAGAATGCCTGTTTTCACTTTCAGGTGACATTGTAAATAAGAAGCAGGCAGCATTATCTCCTGCAAATGTAAACAAACTTGTTTGAGCGATTGGTTGAACAAGAAGTAGGACTGAGTGGATTTGCAAGCTCTAAAATTTTATTGTTTTATTTTTGAATGCAGTATTTTTGTACATAATTCTATATTTGTAAGTTCAGCTTTCATGATTAAGAGATTGCACTATAGTGCTTGTATTGGGGGAATTGAAAAATACTATTTCTTTTGTCTTTTTACAGTGCAGACACTTGTAATCAAAAATAAATATAAAGTGAGCATTTACACTTTGTATTCTGTGTTGCAATTGAAATCAATATATTTGAAAATGTAAAAAAGCATCCAAAAATATTTAAATACATGGTATTCTATTATTGATTAACAGTGCGATTAATTGTGATTAATTTTTTTAATTGTGCGATTAATCACAATTAATTTTTTAATTGCTTGACAGCCCCACTGCATTTACATGTCTGTTCGGTGTAGTGTTTCTCCTTGCACTTCTTGCATGCTAGGGCCAGAGTCTTGCATTAATTAAGATAAAAATATTCTTACTGATTTCTAAAATCTAATTTTAAGGACTGATCCTATGAGATGCTGAATGTCCTTAACTTCCATCAACCTCAATGGGAGTTTGTTCTGTGGCTCATATGGTCAGGTCCTTGGCCTATAACTTCTCCCAGGTCACATAGTGAGTCAGTGGCAAAACCAGGAATAGAATCCAGGTATTTGAACTTACGGTCCCCCCAGTCTAGGATATACCCTGTGACTGACTCAGTTGTAGGGGTGTCATTTTCCTGCTGTTTCAACAGACAGATTTATCCCAGTGGGCCATCTCCTTGTTAGGACCCCTGCTGTGGAATGAGGCACAGACTGAGTTACTTGCCCGTGGTCTCACAGGCGGTCCACGGTCGAGCTAGGAAATGAATGTGGGTCTCCCATATCCCAGGCTAATGCCCCAAGCACTGGGCCATCCTAAGTGACTCATAAGACTTCGTGCTTTATCACCTTCTATCTAAGGATCAAAAATGCTTTAGAGCCACTAATGAACTAGGCCCTGATTCAGCAGTGCACTTAAGCATGTTCTGAAATTTTAAGCATTAGAGTCCTCTCCCTGAAGCCAATAGGATTACTCATATATTTGAAGTTATGCATATGCTTTGCTGGACTGGAACCATAGGGGAGTGGTGTCAACTTCACAACAGCCCCATGACGTGGGTACCACTTCCTCTGTTGCTTTGGGCAGGGGCAGATATATTTGGGCACCTAATGACTTTACCAGCAGAAATTTCAGGTACCCAGGAACTTCAGGTGCCTATAGAGTTAGGTAGCAGTCGAGTGTGGGGTACCTAGCTGAGGATCTCATGGGTACCTAGTGTTAACCTTAGGGGCCTAAATGGCACTTTGGCACCTCTGTCCCTTTGTAACAAGGTATTCTCTCCCCTTGCCCCTTATATAGAATACTTTGCAATAATTCTGTACATACCTCATGCCTAAATAGCCAGGATATCAGCCCTGTTCAGAGAGTCAAATGTATGCTTCATGCAGATGAAGGCAGGGCAATCAGAATGAAGATGTAATTGAGGTTTCAAATGCATTAATGAAATGCGCAAAACAAAATCTTTCATCAGAAAAAGGAGAGACTTTGAAAATTTCCTTAAAATTAATTCTGAATAAAGAACTCCCTCCAAGTCAGAAAAACTTGACAGGTCACTGGGGAAAGATTTCTGGGTCTCTCAAAAACATTCCAGTCAGTCAGAGGCTGAATAAGTAACAACACTTTTCTTCTATAGATTTCAAAAGTGTTTTATAAAGGTGGCTATATGAAATTATCTCTGTTTTACAGAGGTGGAAATTGAGGCACAAAGCCTCAGTTCCACACATGGATATAGGTGTTGCAACACCTAACTTTTAGGTGCCCAGAAAATCACTGGAACAACATAGCAATCCACAAAGCCTGAGTTAGGTGCCTTGGCTCCCTACGCAATGAATGGGGAGAGACAGGTGCATTACGCTGTAATTCACGAAGTTCAGCACCATAAGTGGGGAGCTGCCTAAGGTAGCCAATGGGAGAAGTTGATGAGATGGGTTTGTCTTAAGCCCCATGCCTCAGTTAGATATAAGGGCCAAAGGCCTTGTCTACACTAAAGAGTTTTGTCGACAAAAGGCAGCCTTTGTTGACCAAACAGTGGAGGTGTACACACTACAAAGCTGCTTTTGCCGACAAAATAAAACCACCTTGACAAGAGGCATGGAGCTTTTTGCAGCAAAGTTAGATTGATGCAGTGTCCGTGTAGACACCACGCTTGGGTTTATTGCTGTAAATGACCTCCAGGTACACAGGCATCCAGCCTGCCCCTTCTAAAGGCTCAGGAATTTTTAAAATTCCACTTCCTGTTTGCTTGGTGTGGAGAGCTCACATTGCATCTTCCCAGGTGACCATGGTGGCTCTACACAGCAAATGCTCTCCCGCTTGGACCACAGCTGAGTTGTTGGATCTGCTGAGTTATATGGGGAAAGTAGGCTGTCCAGTCCCAGCTGCGCTCCTGCCATAGGAACTTTGATACCTGTGGGCAGAGAACTACAAATGGAACATGAAGTGCCGAGCTCAGATAAAGTAGCTGAGGCAGGCATACCAGAAGGCAAGGGAAGCAGACGGTCACTCTGGTGCTGAACTGAAGACCTGCCACTTCTATATGGAGCTGGACATCATCCTGGGCAGTGACCCCCACTTCCACTATCAAGAGCCCTGTGGATACTTCAGCAGGGCTGGACGGGGCAGACAGTGGACCTGACCCCAAGGATGAAGTCATGGATGAGGAGGTCAAGTTGGAGGACTACGTGGAGCACACAGCAGAGTCATCCAGTGGCGCAGTGAGTCAGGACCTCTTTTCCACTCCAGAGGGATCTCGTCCATCTTGGCGAGACAACAAACATGTCACAGCACTGAGTGCTCCTTTACTGCATTGCATCCTACAGAGCTCAAAAGGTCAGGACTAGCTACAAGCTCCATTTGGGTACATCTTGCCGGCATTGCGGCATTCCATCATAAGACTGATGATTGTTCAGTATTTACCTACATGATAACAAAAAGATTTCTCAAGGGCCTTCAAAACCTGTATCCTGAAGTCTGAGATCCCACCCCACCTTGGGTTCTCAGCATAGTCTTACGTTGCCTCATCAGCTCCCCACCTGAACCCTGGTGACCTGTTTCTACGTACAGCGACCCACGGAGACGCACTTTCTCGTAGCCACCACATCTGCTCGACGGGTAGGGGAAATAGAGGCCCTCCTGGTGTCCCCCCCCCCCCCCCTACACAATCTTCTTCAAGGATAAGGTCACATTACAACCACACCCAAAATTCCTACCCAAAGTACTGTTTCATCTGAACCAGCCTGTTCACCTTTCAGCCTTCTTCCCCAAACCACAAGAAAACAAGTGAGCAGCCACATTTCACATCTTAGATGTTAGAAGGGCATTGATCTTCTATCTCAAAAAACTAAATCATTCAGCAAGTTGCCATGATTATTCCTGTCTACAGAAAGATCAAGAGGATCTGCCATATCCAAACAAAGGCTTTCAAAATGGATTTCTGAGTACCTTCATCTTTGCAACCGGCCGCATAATCTACAGCACCCACCACAAATTCAAACACATTCTACTCGATTGTTTTCCACTTTGATAGCCTTCCTGAGCAATGTGCAATTACAGACATTTGTAAAGCAGTCACCGTGGGCATCAACGGACATATTCACACAACGTTACGCGATCATCCAGGACTCAGCATCAGATACTCTACTGGGACA